CGGGTGGATTTGGCCACCCTTAAGCTCGTGGCAGTAGCTTTGCCAACGGAGAGGAGGAGACGCGGCGACTGCGATGGAGATGAGGGGTAGGGACGGCGATGGCGGCTATGATGGAAATGAGGAGGGGTGGCGGTGGTGGGGAGAGTGAGTGTGAGAGAGAGGCGGAGAGGCTGAGAGAGAGGCGACTTGCCCATAAAACACTGAGGCTCAATCAGTCATCGGCTCAACTCCCTCAGAGGTATTGGATTTTTTTTTTTAAACCAACACGTATAACCCTTCATAAGTGTCAGTTTATCAAAGAAACTAGCACAAATATTGTTGGTGCCGTTTTTTTAATAAACTAGCACATACATGCTAGTTTTTATTTTTACCCATATCAGATCTTTTAAGAACTAGAAAAGCCTTATGTATGAGTCGTTTTTTTCTAGGCAAATTTTGTTACAGGACATCGCGACTTCGTGGTTTTAGCTGTGGGACATTACACAAAGTCACTTTTGGGGGAAGACACTCTCAAATGTGGTTATTTGCCAATGGACACCGTAGACATTAAAATATTAATTTCTAATTCAATAGGAGAGATAAATAGTGTAAAATATCAAAAATGCACATGGGCCCACTTGTCATATTCTTCCCCCACAACTAACTCCCTCTCACACTCTGGCCACAACGCCACCTTCACTTGCCCCTGGAGACCACCCCATCCCTCCCTTCTTGCCTCCTCTACCTCCATCGTGATAGCACGACCCGGCTCCCAAACATGGGTGGCGCGGCCTGGCTCCCCTCAATACATGCAGGCTGCGGCACGGCTCGGCTCCAGCAAGCACCAAGGGGAGCAGCGATTGGGTGGGGACGGAGATGGAGCAGCGACGTCGTCTTCTCCCCTTCCACAGCCATGAGCTTAGTGGTAGCCGCTGGATCTGACCAAGCATGGGGCGGTGGGGGCGGAGATGGAGCTTGGCAGCGCAAATCGGGTCGGTGGGTCGACGACCTACCCAGCGGCAGCACGGAGTGGGGGCTGCAGCCGCCGTCGAGCCTCAAGGCAGCGCCCTCAACGGCGAAGTGGCTGTGCGTGGCGTCATCCTTTTGCTCATCCACTCCGTCGCCAAGAGTCGTCGCCTTCAAGCTGCACCAGTGGTTGGGGAGGGAGGAAAAGCAGCATTGGCCGGGGGGTAGGGGGAAGGAGAGTGGCATTGACTGGTGGAGGTAGACGAGGCAAGGAGGGAGGCCTAGGCTGGTCGCCGGCGTGTTAACGCCGAAATTTGGTAAGCCCCTAAGAGAATTATCACATCGCCAATAGTCGGATTCCTGCTATATTCGATTAAGGAAATTAATCTATTAAAGGAAGCTTATCCAGAAGTGACCGAGTTCAAGGAGGATGCGGCATGGCAAGTTATCTATTAATTAGGAATAGTTTGTTAGTTTTCTTTTATCTTTAGAAAAGTGTATTTAGTGTCCTATAAGGACTTTATGTTTTCCTTTTATCTTTAGGAAAGTTTCTTTCTTGTCCTACAAGGACTAGTATCTCCCTATGGGTATAAATATATACACCCGGGGTCATTGTAAATTATCTCACAGATCAATACAACTACTCTTGGCGCATCGCCACCCTCTTTACCGAGGCTTTTATTATCATCCGGCAGAACTTGGCACCTAACGCGGGGCTACATCGGTTTTCAATCTCCGGTGAAGGGGTAAGTCCTACGTTCCGCCGGCCATAGTGAATCTATTGGCTACATTGGTGTTGTTCAAGGCTGTATCGCTTCGATCTCTTAGACCTCTCTGATTTGGTTGATATATTTGCCTACCTGATATCTCAATTCTATCTCCAATTGCATTGTGTTTAGAGATGCATCGGTTTAGTTGGGACTGTCTCGGTTAGGTCTAATCTTCTGTCTTAGCCGATATATCTCTACAATCACAATGTTGTTCTAAATAGATTTGATATATCCATCACATTAGACAGATCTATCGGCTCATCGAGTATTAGATTATCATATACAATCTCGTGCTGCATCGGTTAGGTTCGACCTACTAGATTATTGTTGATAATATAAATCTTGTTAAGCCGATAGATTCATGCTAATGTTTTATCGGGGTGCTAGCCGATAATTTATCTGGACGTTGCATCGGCTTACAAGGATTACATACAAGTTGGATTTAGCCGATTGCAACAAAGGTTTCACTGTTTATCTAATCGTTTGGATTTTATGACATCGGACCTTCAGCCGATGTATGCTTTAACCTTCGGATCAGTGCTTATTCTATCATGTCATTGTTAGCCGATTGGTTTCTACTGGATTATATTATTGTTATATTATATTATCATCAGCCGATCACCTTTATATTGTTATTTACATCAAGTGTCAGATTCTACATTGGATGTATAGCCAATTGCTCAAAACCCTATCGCTATCGGCTGGCATCAGCATCGGTTGGAATTACTCCATCGGCTTGTCAGCTGATCGGTTCATTGATCTGCTATTTGTATATCTTGTCAGTTGTAGGATCAAACTGACTGGCACGCCCGCATCTCACCATCCTTTGGACATACACTGGAGCTAAGCAGATCTCCCAGGCCAGTGTGTGTTTTTTGCATCAACACGGCGGCGACCGGAGGTGGAGTTATGGCCGGAGTGTGAGAGGAAGTTAGTTGTGGGGGAAGAATATGACAAGTGGGTCCAGGGGCATTTTTGTCCTTTTACAATGTTTATCTCTCCTACTGAACTAGAATTAATATTTTAATGTCTATGGTGTCTATTAGTAAATAATCATATTTTGAGAGTGTCTTCCCCCAAAAATAACTTTGTGCAGTCTCCCACAACTAAAACCACAAAGTCACGATGTACTGTAGCAAAATTTGCCTTTTTTTTTATTGTAACGGGACATATGAGGACATGCCTTATTAGGATTTTTTTAATGCCTTATTAGAGTTGCCCAATACACAACACAAGAGTTGTCCAGTACACAACATTGAGTCCTAAGAACAGTTCTTAAGGAATTGTTTTGCTCACAGCCACACTTTGCAAAGAAAAAAAAACAACAGACATGTTTAACCGAGTTAGCTGTGTGTTTTGGTTCACTGTCACATGCGTAGTATGTTTCTCTTCCTAACACCTTGTTTCCACTTGGCATTATTGAAGCTTTTGCTAGCTAAAGGGGTGCGCCAAATTTGTTTTCCTGAGCTCATGCATGTTTAAGGGAAACAAAATGACAACCTTTGTAATATGAATCAAACGATCCTCAAGATACTGAGCTGACAGTTATTCCAATAAGTTATACTCCCTCCGTCGTACAATAAAAGGAGGTGGCCAAGTTTAATATAACGGTACTTAATTTAATATATGTATAAAAAGAAAGAAAATGACTAGCGATTTTAGTTAAATAAAATGACTAACAACCGCGAAAGAGATAGCATATGTTGACACAGACTTATTTCTAGATTTTTATTGACATGGCAGAAAAGTAAAAGAAAATAATTAATTAAGTCCATGCATACATTAAAAACCATGCATAGAAACATAATACTAGTTAAAAAGGTTTACGGCATTGACGGAGTACACCATTTTATAATTAGTTAATAGAAACGGTAAGTTAGCTTTTTTAATAATAGTATCTACTGGGTAGCGCTTTCAACTAAATGTTATCTACCAAAATAAAACTTCAATGCCTAGATTTCAAAAGACTACACAAAACTATAACACAAACTTCGGTCAAAAACTGAAAGGGAGCATGGTATTATAAAGGTAGTCAATACAATGGAACAACGACTAACCTTTCCGATTGTGTCAGACGTTAATCAACTTAGATAGATGACGATAAAAAACACACGATATTTAATAACGGGGGTTCAATCTAGCCTACATCTTCAGGGGTCTATTATAGGTACTTCTCCCCGATCAATATAATACATCCAACCGTTGAGTCATGATCTCGCCGCCATCATCTCTGTACATGTTTATGCTACATTATCATCACCATAGTTACACTATGGCACCCCTATTTATTTAAAGAATTACCACGTTATATGGTCCGACTCTAACTCCATCCTTAGCTAATTCCTATTACGACTTCAAATACAACTATACTCTATTAGGACTAATATATTTGACACCTATTTCAGCTACAACTTCTATCACCTATTATAACTCTAGTAAACACCACAATATTACTAATACATTCCACTACTATAGAAAGGCTTTTTCCAGGCGGCCCATAACCTATTTTCGCGTGCAGTAGAGCGTCTGGAAAAATCGCTATTTTTGCATACGGGGGCACACCCCTGCCAAAATCTGATTTTCGCATATGGGTGCTTATGTGGTCCGCACACAAAAATAAAAATCCAAAAAAAAATAAAACCGCCCGCCCGCCGGTCGCTGCGCCAGACGACCACTAAGCCCGCCTGCACGCTGCCATCGCCATGCCAGCCGCCGCCCGCCGTTGCTGCTCCCTGAACGCGTCGCCGTTGCTCGCTGAGGAAGCGTAGCTGCTGTGGCGAAGTGAGGAGAATGAGAGGAGAGAAAGTGAGGAGAATATAAGGGAGAGAGAGAATGGAGAAGAGATAAGTTAATTTTTTTAATAGGTTGAGGGAAAGAAGAGGAGGATTGAACTTGCAGGCGTCTGCTTAATAGGTCCGCATGCGAAAATAGATTATTTTCCCGTGTGGGCCTGTTAAGAGGGCCGCCTGCGAAAATTGATTTCGCATAAGGGTCTCTTAAGGAGACGTATGCAAGATCGATTTTTACAAACACGGTCAGTTATGGTCCGTTTATGACCTAACAAGGGTCTCATCTGGAAAAATCGTTTTTGTCGTAAAATCGTTTTTGTCGTAGTGTTCGACACATATTCTAACTACACTTTCTCTACACTTTTATATCTCTACACTTTTATAGGACTATATCCTATTCGGAGTAATATATACTCAGCCTATTACAATTATTAGAAATAGAACTATATTATTCTATTAAGGCTAATATATGGATCCGACTCCTACTTCTAACGTAGATTTTCGGCCTTTATAAACCAGCATCACCCCTCCCCTAATCCTCGACCTCACCATCGTCGGCCGGACCTCCACGGACCGCATACGCGCGACACGAGCACACGACCACGCAATACGCAGCAGCAGCAGCAGCTACCCAGCAGATCGATCCGACCGACGGAGGAAGAAGATAAAAGGGCAGAAGAGAAGGGGTGTGTGTGGAAAAGGCGAGTAAAGACTCCAGCTTTCTCCCCGTTTGACCTCGCCCTGCTCACCGCGAAGGCTCGCCCCCCTCCCTCTTCCCTCCCCGCCGCCGTCACCGGCGGCAGGCAGCAATGGCGGCCGCTTCGGAGGAGGCCATCAAGCAGTTCTCCGCGCTGATGGAGCTGCGTGAGTGTTTTCTCTTCTCTCTATTCTTGATTGCTACTGAAACAAATAATAATAATAATAATAATAATAATAATAATAATAATAATAATAATAATAATAATGAGGAGGGAAGGAAAAGTTGAACACTATCTCTCTCCGAGGTTGTTCTTGTTTGCTGAGATGCGCTTTGTTTTGTTGCAGTGGATGAGCCGCTCAAGACCACATTCCAGGTGCCGATCTGCTCTTTCTGCTGCCATGGCTGGATCTCTTTCTTCCTTCCTTGCTCTGTATTTTGCTCTGCTAGAACTAACTTGTTGGTTGGTAATATTTGGTGATGTTTCTGCGTTGGGCGTGCGGCTGTTTTGGCCGAGCTTTGCTTGATTTTTTTTTTTGCCTCTGCTTCTGTTTCTTGCTTTGCATTTTTGGTGGATTTGGGAGTTGCAGCTCCCATTCTTTGCTCGGTTCTTGCTTGGTGGGTAAATTTTATAGATCTTTGAAAGTTCATTGTGATCCGTAGCTCAGCTGTAATATTGTCAAGCTTTCTTTTATCAATTTGGAACATCTTTAGTTTTTGTTTTCTTTATATGGTTTTACTTTGGTCATTTCTAGCTCATGCTCTTAAATTGATTGTCTGACTAGTTATAGCGTTCAAGTTTGGTGCTCCAACAGTTTACTTTGTATTTATATGATTTCTGTTCGGTCGCAGTTTTTGTCACTTTTTCTATGGTCAAGTTGCAATTTTTTTTCAGACTAGTATCTTTTTAGGTGAAATTGCACTTCTTTTTTTTACCGTATTCATGCCGTGGACTCAGGGCTAAACCACTATCTTCAGCTGTAGTTGAGCAAATTTGCGGCGAAAAAGTTGAGCAAATTTTGCTTGACTTGCACAGGCAGATATTTTTTTTTGTAAGAAGATTTTGGGAGATGTTTTAAGTAGTACTTTAGTACCTTTTGCGGTCCTAATTGCAGCTTTGGTACAAGCAGCCAATTTTGGGGCAATTCTTGGTGTCGGTGCCATGTACTGTTTGTTCCTAGCTTCGTCATTTGGAGCTCAAGAGCTGTATTATTACTTTATTACATCTCGTCTGACTCAGTCATCTGTGCCGGCTAGGAGAGTTTAATTTTCCAACCATATTCGTTGATTGTTCCAATGGCTATGGTTTCTAGATCCCAAGACTTTGTGAGGTCAAGTACCACCAGAATGATGTATGTATTGTTAGCAGTTGGAAGCCAAACTATTTAGTACATGGGAGGGAGATGGCTTTGTTGTGTGATCTTTCACGGCAAGGCTTCTTGTTGGTGTGAATTGTGATTCAGACACCATGTCACCATGTGGATCTCGGTGGCCGCTAATTAATGGCCGAAGAAGTTGCTGTTGTTTAATTTGGACGCTTGCTGATGAGGGATGGACCTTGTGTTCCTGGACTTTGTGTGGCCTGGGACTGTTCCTGGTGGAGATGTTTCAATTGCCGATTTGGACTTCTTTTATATGCTTATGCTCTAGCTGTCCTTTTCCTGATAAGTATGATGCCATTAGTGATCTCAGGAAGATGTGTTTGGTTGCGCAAGCGCGCTGGAATCCCAATATGTCCACTAAGAAACAACATCTTTGTTTCAAAAAAATATATTTCTTTCCCACAGCAGTCACAATGTCACCACCAAAGAACAACATTTGCTTTTCTCTCCCTGTTGTGTTGCTAGATGCTTTTTCTTGACCTCTGTCTACATTTGTTATCTTCTTTTTCCGTTTTGTTTTTTTGGATGCATGAGTTGCATTTCCTTTTTTTCCCTACAAATATTCCATCACTAGTTATATAGTTTTTCATCAGCTGCTTGTTTGAAAATAATAATTCTAGGGGTGACTAATGCTTAACTAGTACTATGCTAAATGTTCACAGCATGTCCATCAAGGATACGCAAGAGGAACTCTGGTGCGTTTTCTAAAGGCCAGAGAATGGAATGTTCCGAAAGCACATAAAATGGTAAAGCTTGCTTTTTGCACTCTACTGACAACAGATAAGTTATTTATCTCTGAATATTTAATTGTTTGATGCAGTTAATGGATTGCTTAAATTGGAGGATACAAAATGGGATTGACAGCGTTCTGGCTGTAAGTACCCTTCCATTGGAGATTGGACGGATTTACTTTTAATTTCTTTTGAGGAATGCAAGACTGCTCTGCTAGTCAGTGATTTAAAATCTGTTACAAGATGAATTCAAGTTGATGCCAAAAAAAAAAATCAATCTCTTGCACTTGTAGCAGCAAACGTTTCGAATGTCAGATTTGCATCATGTACTGATCCAGAATTGCACTGCAAATTGCTAATAGGTTCATCTTATGCTATTTATCTAACCAGCAACTTCCGTTTCTTAATGCAGAAACCTATAGTCCCTTCTGATTTATACAGAACTATTCGGGATACGCTGCTGGTTGGATTGACAGGATACTCCAAGCAGGTATAGCGACCAGACTCATTTATTTCATTTTTTCATAATTTTAATGGAGCCTTATGTTCAAATCTCACATTTCTTAAGTCAAAAAAAAATCTCACACTTCTTTATCTAAAATTATCTGGTTTTGGATGGCATTGTATTGCTGAACAATAGTTTCATTTGACAGCAGTTTGCTTTCTCTTTGTTGAGTAAAGGCTTTTTTGCTGTTCTTCGTCTCATTTCCTCTCCTTTTTGTAGGGACAACCTGTCTATGCATTCGGTGTTGGGCTCAGTACCCTTGACAAGGCATCGGTAGGTATTTATTGATTAGAGTCTGAACAAATCTACCTGGGTTAAATCTAAAATAATGTGCATAGTAGTATTTGTTCAAAGCCAGATTCACTGAGCTAAAGTCTGATACCATTATGGTAGATGATAAACTAAATTGCATTTGATTACTTCTAACTTCAGTTATAGGATTAGGAATTAGCAACTGTTTAATACAAAACATAGCATGATATATCTTTTTCTTGGAAATATTTTGTCTAAATTACTTCATTTTTGTACTAGGTGCACTATTATGTGCAATCACACATACAGATGAATGAATATCGAGATCGTGTTGTACTGGTAAGCCTTTTCTATTGATGATTCATAATTTCAATGTTATAAACAGATATTAAGTATATTTTTTCTCTTCTTTAGCCGAAAGCCTCTAAGATGTTCGGGAAACAGATTAACACTTGCCTAAAGGTTATGGATATGACGGGGCTGAAGCTTTCTGCCTTGAACCAAATAAAGGTAGGCTGTCTTTCGCATTTGCTAAAATCTTCTCTCTTTCCGGTGTAACCTCTCAGATATGCAAGATAACTGACAGTGGGCTTATTTTGTATGTGGTAAAATGTTTGATGTCAATTCAAATTTGAATTCAAGTGTCATAAATCATAAAAAGAGACTCTGTGGTGCAAGGGGTCATAAATCATGAACATGCCTAGAATCGAGTTAATTGGCTTTCTGATCTGCCTAATACCTAAGAGCAGCTTGTAATGGATTAATTAAAGTAATGCATTTGATCTCCCTCATTTTGTTATCTATTCTGCAACTGGATGTGGATCACAGATTAATAGTATCTTCTATGCTGCTGCCAAACTACTTCATTGTTTAGATTATGGAAAGCTAACAATATTGGTTTATTCATTATACTGATAGCTTAACTTTATGTGTGATGTTTTTGGTTTCAAGGTTTTTGTATGCTGACCTTATGCTATACCAGGCTTTCAGTTTTCAGTGAAAATAAACTTTTCAATATGCTTATCGACTTCTTCATGATGCAGATGTTATCTACGATAACAGCCATCGATGACCTTAACTATCCTGAGAAAACAGAGACCTATTTCATTGTCAATGCTCCATATGTTTTTTCAGCATGTTGGAAGGTCAGTATACATATACACCATGCAGTCAATTTGCATACACGTTCTATTATTTTCTTAATTCCAACTTCCGTTTGAAGGTTTTGAAGTTTAGCACATCATTTTTTTTTTCATTTGTGGCTAGGTTGTGAAGCCTCTTCTACAAGAAAGAACAAAAAGGAAAATTAAAGTCCTGTACGGCTCAGGAAGAGATGAATTACTAAAGGTAAATATCATTAATCTCTTTTACTTACCATTAACTTTCTCCACATACTAGGCGGTACCTGTAGGTTCTGATAAATGCTATGAGCTTCAAGTTTAATTTCTATTGCAAGCATGTGGGCAAAAGTTATGTGGAATTGTGGACCAACCTCTCCTTACTAAGGAATCCATCACACAGTCAGCACAACTATGTTTTTGGACGCTCAAATTTCACACGCATCTGTGAGCATGAATAAGCTGACTGGAAAGAAGAGCTTTTTGTACAACCAGCCATCCTAACTTTTAGTGGTCCTGTTGATCTCATAGCTTATGAGCGTCGTTTAGACGTGTATTGGGATTACACTAAGATCTCTTATGTGACTATCAGGTTATGGACTATGAGGCACTCCCAAACTTTTGCAAGCGAGAAGGATCAGGCTCGTCGAATGATTCGTCGGATGGAGTTGATTGCTACTCCTATGATCACCCTTTTCACCAGGAGCTGTATAATTACATCAAACAGCAAGCCCTGAATGAAGACTTCATCGGTCCCATAAAGCAAGGCTCAATGCATGTGGATGTGCCCACACCTGATCTGGAAGAGGCCAAGATCATGGAGACGATCGAATCGGAGCTCCACAAATTCAGTGGAGCTAATGGCCTCTCGCATTCATTCAACAAGATCAAGATTGAAGGTCCGTGATGTTGCCCGTGATCATATCTCGTGACGGAGACGACGATCTGCGGAGATATTATGCTTATCCATCTCCAGCCCCAGGGAACCTACGGTGGGGTTATAGCACTCCTTGCTTGCAATCTCTAGCTGCAGGCTTGACTAGGATCCACGAGTAGAAAGAGGTTAGTAATTGTGATGCGATTCTAATAACCGAATCCGTATTATCTGAAAGTGTAGCCAGTTCTTTTTCTAATTAACCTAGCGACTGTATCATCTGCGACACGTTACTATTTCAGTGCTTATGGCAACTGGGAAGGAAATGTGATGTTTCCAGTCCTTCCGAGTAAGTTGCTGCCCTAAATATATATGTAACAGTGTATGTATAGCCTCTAGCTGCCTTTTGATTGCAGTGGTATATATCAAGTGCTGTACTCACTGCTAAGAATGAATCATCTGCATGTTTCATTTCACTGGATGCTGTGAAATTTGGTAAATCGTTATATCAATGTTTGATGTTTGCTGCCATCTGTATAAACTCGCCAGTCGCTTTTGGCTACATAATTAAGACTGCCCATGAATGTTGTTTTGCATTTTGTAGAAACAATGGATGGCTGTTATGCTCATCTTATTTTCTAACTGGTGTAACAGTAAATTCAGAAGCGTTAACTAGCAGCTAGGGGTGTAAGTGGCTAACCCGCGAAACCCACTTATAGATTAAAATAAGCCGCGAGCCCACTTATTTTGATGTATAAGTGAGTTCGTGGCTAACCCACTTATACCCCCAACTAGTAGCGTCTTGTCCGTTGGATCCTTCTTAAATTACCAACTTTATCGTGCGTTCATTTGGAAGTAGAATAGGAATTAGTTCAATTCTTGTTAAAAATCTCACAAAATTCATCCACTTGAAAGGGCCTAAATGACTTTGTTTTAGGCTATAAACCAAATAAAAACTTGGCTATGTTCGTAATCAGAAATAAAGTTTTTTTTTAAATGAAATACTACATTCGTCCCAAAATATAGAACTACATAGGACATCTAAATTTATAGTATTAGAATGTGTCTTATCTTATAGTAGGTTACAATATTTATAGTAATAGGTTGTGTCTCATCCGATACTAGGTTATCATATTTTAAGACGAACGAAGTAGTAACAAATATATTCGTGAACTGCGTATGTGTTATCATAACATTATATCCGTTCCTCTGAGGGTCTCTTTGTTTAGACTTAAACTCAATGACTTAAACTTGGAAATCAATATTTTTCTTATATGTTTTATAAACCAGTAGCTTAAAAGCCTAAATTTTGATAGCAGAATCGTATTGTCACTTTACATAAGCTAAAATGCTACTCTAACCTAGCTTTTAACTTATCATTGTATAAGAGTGGGTTATGGCTTTAAAAAAGCCAAAAAACATTGTTTTGCTCAGATTTAGACTTTTCAACTCATAAGCTAGCTCCCCCGCAAAAAAAAAAAACCCTCATAAGCTAGCTTATAAACATAAACAAATTAAATAGAACCTAAATACTCCGAAATTGCTAATGAACAATCCATCACCGCCAGCGATAGTTTTTTTTTTTGGGGTATGTTTATATACCACAACTTTACTGCAAGTTTATATACATAAATTTTATTTGGCGTTAGGGGAATTGAGTTACGTCAAATATGTTTAACCAGAGAGTAATATGTGTTTCTGCAACCGTAATTGCTAGGTACCACCCTGAACACATGATAAGATGACAGTAGTTACGATAAATAGCAATAAATTTGCATGACTAACCTTTTGATCGGATGTTAAGCAAGAACCATTAACTAGCCATTCCCAAAAATAGCCGTTTTGTTTGCCGTGGAGGCACACCCGCACAACTTGGCTTTAACCCCCAGCTTCCTCTCCCGTATAAAATTTCACCTCTCCTTCCACTCACATCGATCACGATCACCATCTAGGCATGCAAAGGCCAAATCTGCAAGTTTTGATAATTTTACCAGGTGAGGCCAGGAGGTGAGTGAGAGAGAGAGAGAGATCAGGAGGAGGTTACAGATCGATATATAGATGGAGCCCATGGCGATCGTGACGGTGACCGGCGGCGTGCTGGGCCCGGTGTTCGTGCTGCTGTCGCGGATCCGGCCGGTGGTCGACTTCTTCCGGCGGCTCTGCGACTGCCTCCGCCACCCTCAACGCCGCCCCGCCCGCCCCGTCAGGGCGCTATGGAAGCGCGCCGCCGCCGACGAGCAAAACTAATTAAAACGTTTCTATTCTACCTCTGTGTGTGTGTTAATGACGACGCATTAGGCGTTAACCATGGTGGGTAATAATAATTAACCTTGTAACACAATGTTTTGTTAATTGTGATGTTATTTCTCCGTGTCAGGACATTAACTTATTGCTTCTTTTCTTTACGAGGCTTCGTTTATCTATAACTATAAATCAACAGGGGCGGACCCAAGATATCTATATCAATATACTACTTATAAAAAGTATAGTGGTGACGGTGACTTAAACCATGACAGACATACATCACTCTATCCGTACGATCGTTAAATCCAACGGCTAGATCGATCCTCCAATGATCCTACCCATCTACCCATGCCCCCACCCCCACCGCTTGTGCCCCCAACCCCACTCCTGCATCCACCCGCGCTCCCCGCAACGGGCATGCTGCCGATGCCAGCGTGGCCACTCCACCACGTCTGTTGTTTTCCTAGCATGATGTACGCCTCTTCTCGTGTAAATCACTTCCTCCCATCGCAAATCACAGTCTTCCCCTGCAGGCGCCACGGTGGTCCGTCCTCCTGACGGTGGGGCTGCTTCGCCACCTTTGTCCTCATCACAATCGCCACCCTGGTGTTCCATTCTTTTCGTCGGAACCGCTGCTCCACACGCCTCACTGGTCCACAATCGTTGCCACTCCATCATGCCTCTGGTGTCTTCCCAGCCGCGCGTCGTCTTCTGTTATGCTGGTGAGTAGTCGTCACTCGCCTCGTCTCACGCTTCGACATTTCTGAATCCTGACATGAAGATACTGGACCATCTTGCGTCACGCTACGACATCACCATCCATTGTTGCTACGTATAGGCCTATTGGATTGGAGATGGAGGGGTAACATTGATATGTTCTTTCAAAATTCAGCAAATAAGTTTTTGTGCAGCATCCGATGGTTATATGCTATGTTCATTTTTCATTCTAGATAAGAAAACATTGACTCACCTTTGTGGTGTCTTTCAAGTTTCATTTAGCTAATGAACTCTGGAGGAACTAGGTGTTTTACTAGCTAATGATGTTACTAGCAGTAGTCATCATGTAGTCTTGTTGACGTTGGGTATCGAACAAAAAGGGATGTGCGCATGGGCCACCCCATGCATGCGCCATTGCTGAGAAAAACGAGTGAGTTTCCAAACTCATGTACATCTAGCGCACGTAATAATGGTATCGTGCGCATCTTGTTCTTAACAGATTTGCCTTGAATCCAGCGCTATAAAAACGAGAGGGCAAGCCTTATGCGTGGTAGCACTCATACGTTCTCAGTTCCTCCAAACCCTAAGGCATCAATCCTAAAACTAGTGCAAATGAACCTTAAAAGATGAACTTCAATCACTTGGTGATTCATGAATGACATCTTTCTACTGCGACAAATAACAACACCAGCAATGACTAAGACGACTCTTATGGCTTTATTTTCAACCGATCATTACCCACCTTAATTTTGTATAAGAGCAACCCCAATGTATTTGGTTTAAGTATGCAATAGCATCGTACACTTTATCAGGTGGTAGTAGTTACAACCGCGTGACACAATGTATATTGATAGGGTAAAGAAATTGTGGGATCTATGATATTCTTCAAATCTCAATCTCCCGTGTGCCAGACGCTTGCAAACTCCGGTCCTCTCTTTCTATTGTACAAACATCATTATTTATTTTCTTGCTACTAAGGTTACTGACCAATACTTGCTTTATCAGTTTTATAATAGTTATTATTATCAAATAATAGATGATAATGCTTACTCCCTCCATTAAAAAAACTTAATTACTGAGTTTCTGTATCTCACGTTTAACGATCCGCCTTATTTAAAAAAATTAGCTGAACATGGAATGCATCCCAAGAACCATACAGCTCCAATACTCGCCTCCCCTCGGCCCGACACGTTGGCGCTGCCCTCCAATTCCCCACGCGACACGCGCGCGCGCACGCACGCAGCACCGCATCGCGGTATCGCGCCATCCGCCATGCCGTGCTGTCGGCGACCGCGCGCGGCACGTCGCGCTCGCGCCCCGCCCCCAGTGCGCGCTTTCGGCGTCCACGTCCACGACGTGGCTCGCGGCGCCGCCTTTGACTAAGGAGAGACGGACAGACGATTCGAGTTCGAGTTCGAGTTCGAGTTGCAATCGATTGCTCGACCCGCTCCCCTCGTCTTACACGGCCTCGTCGAGCCGCGCCCTAACCCCCCGCCGCCGCCACTGCCGGATCCCTCCTCCCCCGAGTTCCTCGCCGAGAATCTAAGGTACTCATCCAATCCGACCACCCCTCCCCTTCTCCCCGTCCTCAACCGCGTTGCCGTCGCCGACCACCGCTCTGCCCGCCGCTCTCCACTGCTTGTGTTGCAGGGGGGGAGATATCGCGCTGCCCTCATTTTTTTTTTCTTTCGACCGATGCATGGAGGCACGGGGCTTGTCTGCAATGGATTCCATCGAGATGACCTTCGGGGAATACATCTTCTAGACGAATTCGAAACAATATCCCCCCTACCCTAAACCGATTTCATTATTTCTAAACTTTCTTAAGAGCTTGCTGTTGCTTGAGGCAGGAGAAAGGACAGGAAGCTGTAAGCCTGGAATAGAAGCTGGAACAATACAAGCTAAAGGTGAGACGACCATGATGAGCTATAAGGCAAGTAATGCCATTGATCATGTTTGATCCCATTAGTTATGTGGGATTATTCGGATTTGGTAATTCTATTTTTTGATGAGATGACAGATAGTTATGAGCTCAAGTTATCATTAATTATAATCTTCTTGATACTGAAAATGATATTCTTTGATTGACCTAGGTCTAAGAAGTATAGTATTCATGGATTGATGATATTCTTTGTTAGTAGAGAACACTATGCACAATGATACACACTCACACTTAAATGTTTATATGACAAATCATCACTCATAAATTTGCTATGCTCAAACTCCTATTGCTGAAGGTGAGGTGGTTGTGAATGGTGGTCTTATGGTTTGTGGATTGTTGCCTCACCTGAAGCATTCGAGAAGAAAATTGCTATGCTGAAACTTCTACAGCTGAAAATGAGGTGGTTGTGAATGCTGGTCTTATGGTTTTTGGATTGTTGCCTCATCTGAAGCACTTGAGAACAAAATACCCTTGAATCATACAAGTGATAGGATTAAAGTCTATCTTTGACCAAAATACATCTGATCTCTTCATGTCAAATAGAAGCGATTCCAGCTTTCAAAAACACGCACATATAGGGGCACCACTTCCCAAAACGACCAGGGTGCAACAAGATCTCTCCTGTCTGACAGTTTTCTTTAATATTAACATGGTAACCTGAACAACTAACGGAACACTCACACACCTTAATTAGATCCTCCCAAATTCAAGATCAATCAACCAACTTCAGCTCTAGCAGCAGTGCACAGAGTCTCTCTTAGCAGCACACACCTTAGGTTCACTTTGCCACCTCGACCATCTTGATGATTGGTCTTGCTTTGTCTCCGGCCTTGCCAGGATTTGCCAGTGTTGCAAAAAGGAGAAATAAGTGCAAATTGTAGACGTAGGACAACTCCCTACCAATTGCTGCCGGAAGACCATGTTACTTCTACTTTTTCAGAAGCTCGAACAGATGACTCCAAAAAGACTAATCAGGAAACCCTTTTTCTTTGATCCAGCTCTTCCTACAATATCCACAAATAACTCTTCTGTGGACCTGGACCAGTCCGCCCTGTAGAATCTCTCTATAAACGCTCCACACATCCTGTTCTAAAAGTAAAACACAGCCTCAGCTCTAAAACTGGGTAAAACTCGCCCCCAACTCCCAAAACTAGGTAGACCTTTGTTTTCTAATGGTTTTGGAGTTCTACCTAGTGATATCAGAGGTTGAGGAACGAGTTTTACCCAGTTTTGGATTATTTGAATCAAGAGCTTGTTCAACTAGAAGATCAATATGTCAACCTGTCTATACTGCTCTCTTGGAGAAGTCCTACAGGATGGGGACTTATCGTCATGCTCTTGTGTGAATTGTAACTCTGAATGGCTCACCTTGGTTTGTCTCTCACAATGATAAGTTATTATTGCAATTTATTCGTTCATCACTCACTTCGTGTCTGTCTTTAAGCCATGCTCTAACATGTCCTTGCTGCTTTGATGAGTTTCTCTAGACACCATCCATGTCAGTTTGTATTCCACTATCATGAGAATCATAGTTATCAACCAAATTTGTTTTTTCACATAACTACCGATAGGAACCAAAGCCACCTTTGCCATTAGCCTCATTATAGGGAGTATTATACTTGGAGTGCATATCACCATTTCCTAGAACAGTGTTTCTCTATTATCTCTGTCACTAATGTATCATCATCATGCCAATTCATTTTGTGATGTCACTAATCTGTCCACTGCAAGATGTGTGAATCGCCCAAACCTAGTTACAGGGATGTCCTTGTCCTATTGTCGGTACTCTGGCATAGAACTATGTTGTCATCACCGCTTCCCATTGTCAGCCATTTCTAACTCCACTTTGCCTGAATAATTTAGTCTTTTAGACCGTCTTGTCTCTGTTCCATGATCACAAGGGTGACTGATTTTCCACCGTCACACCACTGTTTGCTGGCAGACTGCTGTCATTTTCCTTGCTGTAATCTGTGAACCCATTGTGTTAGGACATCCTTGAGATTTGAAAAGCTGTGTATCGGGAGGTTGTACTATCATGTCCTGGACTGCTGAACAAGAAAAAAAGAAGATAAAACGCAAATTTTCTAAACTTTTAGTCAAGACAATGTCATATGTAGGTCTTGACCTTCATATAATTGTCAATTTTACAAAGCATTTTTAAAAAGTTTAAACTTAATTGTTCTGATACCATGATCCTTTTGTCATCTTTCCAGTTCTTCTTTTACATTGGATTGAATTATTATCTTATTAGTCAACCATTAGTGTGATATATTATTATTTGGACCATGTCTACCCTGTAACTTCTGTAGATGGTCAAAGGAGTTATGTTCCCTTAGTTTGACTTTAGTAGAGTGTAAGGCAATGAAGAGACCTTATGTATTAGAGAAAGGATAGCTATAAGCAAGCTATGCTTTTGTGGAAGAGAGAGAAAGAAAAAGTGGGAAGTGGTGGCTCTCATGCAAGAGCTAGCTATATACATGCTTCAAGAAATATGCATTAAATTCATAATAAAAGAAAGAGAGAGGAGGAAAAAAATACAGCTAATATAGCTAACCTATTATACATGTTGACTCTACAATGAGGGTGTGTTTGGATAATGGGAAATGAGGGGTGGGATTGGGATTGGGAAATGAATGAAGGGTTAGGATTAAATGGATGAGGGAGAATGAAGGGTTAGGATTTAAAGAGGGGTGTGAAATCATTTCCCTTAGACATTTGCCAAACACTGCCTGAACTTATAGCTAGTTGTGAGCTCTACTATTGAACTTGCTCTTACCAGCATCCACTTTCAGTGATTAGTAAATGCATTTTTGAGTGGTCATAAGGATAAGCTTGTTTAGCTGCATTGGAACCTTAAATCATTAGAACATAATATTGTATTTTAATATATTTTTCCTTATTTTCTTTTGTTCTGAATCAGGCAAGTCTTCCTGATTCTGTTTGGTTTATTTTGTTTTAAAGTTTAAATAGCGATAGAATTATCTCACTCTTATCCATACTTTGTTTCTCAACTACAGAACCTTGGATGATCAACAGATGGTGAAGAGTTGCATTGGCAGCCGCATCAGTGAGGTTGAGGTATCCCATGGCAGTCAATTATATTACCAACTCCAACCTGAATGTTAACGGTGATTAGCAACCATCTTTCTGTCCTTGCAGTGAGCCAGTGACAGTTCAACAATCTGATCAATTTCTCCCTAGAAAAATTATGATGAAGCAACAGATGATTGACAATAGTGCCAAAATCGTATCCCCAGATACTGTGACCACATCAACACGCTATTGTCACAAGTTTGCAGAGTTCATGAAAACAAGGCCACCCACTTTTGCAGGATCAGCCACATCTTGGTATACTGACCAATGGCTTGGCACCATTGAAAACAAATTAGATATGGTGCAATGCGATGAGAAGAACAAAGTATTCTATGCTGCTCATCAGTTACAAGGAGCTGCATTGGAATGTTGGAAAGGTTATTGTGCAACCGATAAAGACCCACAAGCCATCAGTTGGGCTGAGTTTTCTTCTATTTTGCACTATATGGATGTTTCTCCAGGGTTTATTAAAACAAAGGACCACACAAAGGATGGTGTTTGCACACTCTGCAGCCAAGGCTATCGCTATGAGCTGATGTGGTGCCCACGGAACAAGCCAAGAAACTGTGCATGTGCTCGTTGTGGGGAGATTGGACACAGCGCCAGCGAGCACGAAATCAGCTGCTCTAGCTGTGAACAAAGCCATCTACTCGGAGAGTGCCCCATGAGCAAGCTCACTTGTTACCTTTGTGAAGGTGATGATCATGTCCCAATTAAATGCCCCTTGAGTTCAATACTCACTACTGTGACTCAACATCAACGAGAAGCTTACCAAGAAGTTATACAACAGGTAATAGGAGAAACAAATAAGATAATAGTAACTCCAGTTAAGAAGTTCAGAGAAGTAGATGATAGTAGCCTTCAATACCAATGTAAAAGGGGCAGTGAATCAGCATCCAAAGTTGCATGCTCTGCTTGTGGTGAGCAAGGTGAAGCAGCCTCCTATAAAGCCAAGTGTATGTCAAAGACACGAAAGGCTTCATCGAAAACGAAAAATGTCGTATGTTTCAGCTGCAATGAGATGGGCCATTTTGCTAATCGATGTCCACTTAGACATCAGACACCTGCTCAAGACAAAACCATTCCAAAAGCTATTCTGACCAAGAGAACAACACCAACAACAGGTGGTGAAGGTAAAAAACGACGCAAATTATAGTCAAAGGGATGACGTTTGCAAGCCAATATTTATCATGAATATCACTAACACTAGTAAAAATATAAAACTCTAGCCATTTGAAAATATATGCAGTTACTTTGTTCCTATTTTTAATATAAGCACTCCCGTGCCAAGAGAATAGGTTGCAAATTGTGATCAAAATAGTAAAACTGATGCTCAGGCAAAACTTTATAAATCACCACCTAAAGATTTGAACATGTATAAGCTGTGATCATACAGTTCTCTCTGCCGTAGCCACTTGGGCACTTTGCAGTGCTCTGGTAAGTGATAAGCAATACCCCATCCATTTGCATCGACAGACTAAGTAATTCGGCCCCAGACCTAATGCATAACACAATTCAACAATATTACATTTATGAGCGCATTAAGATGTTTGGCTGACTGAGTGCTAGTATCAAAGCACTAACAATATATTATCGTACCTGGAAAACAGAGACAATAGTTGATTCTACCACTGAAACAAAAATATTAAAGTTTCCAGGGCGAGGAGTTGAGGATTTAGAACATTTGTGCTACGTGGAATGTTGCTGTACACAGTTGAACTTATCAGGAATGGAAGAGGTCGGTGCTTGCTTGTCTTCGTCATCGGATTCTACCATCTGGGCATCCTCATCGTCGCCTAGGATTTGTTTGCACAAATGAGTTAGAGTAGGAAAAATATGTATTTGTTTGCATCAGTAAGGTGCCTAGCCTTGCAAACATGTACTCCCTCCGTTCTTTCTAGCATTGCCCACGTTCTTATGCATGTTAATGAATCTAGACATAATGCTAAAAAGTCTTATAATATGAAACAGAGGAAGTAGTATTGGTTGTCGGTTTTATCCTTCACAAAGGAATCCATATCTACCCTATAGTTTAACAAATGGTTTCACTCATCACTCATTCTTTCATTACTCATGGAACGGTCAGGATCATCTCGGTGAAATCTCAACGGTCTAGATCGCTACCACCTCTCACCTCCCTCGATTGCGCCCTCCTCTCCACCCCCTCTCTCTCTCGCTCTCACGCGCCGCCGCCCCCTAATCTCTCCCTCTCACGTGGGACGCGGCGCCACCACCATCGCCGCCGCCCTCGACTGCCGCCGCTCTGCCGTCGTCGCATCCGTCGTCTCGCCGCCACCGATCCCCGCGCTACCACCGTCGCCGCCCTTGACTGCCGCCGCTCCGCCGTCGTCGCATCCGTTGTCTCCCCGCCACCGATCCCCGCCGCTTGCTCGCCCTCAACCGATCCCCATCGCCGTTGTTGCATCCGTCGTCGTCCAAGATTCACGTCGCCGCCGACGCCTTCCACGCCGAGCTGTTCCTCGCTGCCACCGATCCCCATCGCTGTCGTCGGGCCACCGGCTCGCCCTCGCCAGCGTCTCCCCGCAGGTCAGTCTCGCACCACCGCCACTCGCATCTCCTCACCCTCACGATTCCCAACCCTAACTGCCGTCTCCCCGTCCCGAAGGTCTCCGGCGCGCTCCACCCAACCACTGGCGCCGCCACCGATCCCCGCCCGCCGGAAGCCCTCCCGTCGTCAGGTATGTCAAGTTCATCCAAGGTGTTTGTTTTTCTAATGGTTAAAGCGTAGTACAAACTATGCAAATAAAATTAATGTTTTCGTCCCGTTCATATCCATGACTACAAATTATTAGGACTTGATCTAGCCTGAGATAGCCAACGATCGATTCATTTTTTTATCTTTCCAAGTTGTGCTAATGTATACATGTTCAGAATTACATGCCATTTGGGTTCACATTGTTCAGAATTATCTAATCTTTCTGTCATTAGAGTAGCTGGACTGGTTGCTCCAACAGTTAAAGCTGGTGCTTGACGTTGGTATGTGTTCTTGGTTTAGGAAATTTGTGTGCTGAATTTTTAGCTTTGGTTGTTTGCCCTTGACAAACCACGGCATGACTAGGTATCTCATTGAGCTTGTCTTGGATCACAGTAGAATTGTGTTTTCCTAATTTGATTCTGTCACATTCAAAAAATAGAAGATAGTTCAGGTCTATTGAATGCACCATGGAGTTGATAGTGAACTGTACTATATTAGGAGTTTTCTATGACTTCGTTTGGTTGATAATAAGTGATTTTTCCCTTTTGGAATAGGAAAATTTTGCTACAGGACACTTGTTATATGTGGTTTTAGCTTAGGGACACCGCAAAAACGTGGCTTTGGGGAAAGACACGATATAAACGTGGATATTTGCCGATGGACACTACGCCGTCTAACTGAAGCCTGCCGTGCTGACGTGGCGGTCGGGAGCCCCTTTTTTTTTGCCTGGTCGGACCTAAATGCCCCTGTGACCTTTTTTTGAAGGTGGCGTGGTCGCGGTGGATTCTTGCCGGCGTCGGCGGTGAACGGCGGCCGATCTCGCAATGCAAGCAAAAGAGAAAACGTAGCTGAGTCTTTTGCGCATCTAATGGTGGTGGTTTCATGGACTGAGGTGGCCGGGATCGATGGTGACGGTGGCACAAGCGGCGGCGAACCTCGGTATGCATGTGCATGTCGAGCTCCGGCTTGATTTGTGCAAAATGTGTGCATGGATGTGCGGCAATAGGGTTCCTAGAGACTCACTAAAGGTCGTGCGTGCGCTGACGAAGCTTGGGCGACGACGACGATGCGTGGAGCGACCCGGCGGCGGTGGAAAACGGTGGTGCGACGGCGACAGCCTCCTCCAGCCTCCGGTCTGCCAAGAAAGGATGCTTCATGAATGAGGACTTGCGCCGAAACTCACCCGGGAGCGAGGAATCGACAAAGAAGGTCGGCGGCCGGACTTGGAGAGGATGAAGGGGATCTCCACATCGGTGGCGTCTTGGCTTCAATCTTCTTGGGCGTCTTTCTCCTTGGACCTGGGTGATGTCGTTGGCGCAGTGGTTTGGCCTGAGATCCACCGGATGGACGGGAACAGAGAAGGAAGCCGGCGACGGCGCTCTGGAGCAGAAGACGGCGACGCGCACGGCACAAGGTGGTTGATCTGCGCCAAAATGGACGGCGGCAGCGGTGGTGGTTGCCGGAGGTGGTGGTGGTGGTACTCGACGCTGTGCTGCAGGTTCAGGCCGCTCGGGTAGCGCGGCACGGCGCGCGGGTCGCCGACGTCCGGCCACGCCGTGCCGTGCCGGCCGCCTTGCCGTCCCAGCCCAGCGCAGGGGCATTTAGGTCCGACCAGGCAAAAAAAGGGCTCCCGACCGCCACGTCAGCACGGAAGGCTTCAGTTAGACGGCGTAGTGTCCATCGGCAAATATCCACGTTTATAGCGTGTCTTTCCCCAAAGCCACGTTTTTGCGGTGTCCCTGGGCTAAAACCACACATAACGAGTGTCCTGTAGCAAAATTTCCCTTTGGAATAAATACAAATCAACCTAGCATCTTCTTGTAGCATCTTCCCTTTTTCAATTTTTTCATGAATTTGGGTAATATTTGTTCAAATTCAACTAAATTTTACTCAAAATTTCCGAAATTTCAAATTTCGGAATTTTGGTGACCCCTGATACAAACGCCTCAACCGATAGAGTGAACCCTGATAACTGTGTGACAATAAAATATTCTCCTTCCCGAATCATTCAAAGTTACTGCATATAACAAATTCTACTGCTCCGAAATTAGCGCAATATTGGCAAAATTTAGAGCAATGCACACTTCAGGAAAATATTATAGCATAATTGTCCTACTTCAGTTATTAATAGGCGAAATTTATTTATGAACATGGTAATATTGAATCTTTCTTCAGTGGCCTGTTTGCTTTGGGTATGACCAGCAAACATTGGTTTTGGGTTTTGCACATTGTTTACCATGGGGATCCTTCTGAATGTACTTATGGTTTGAATTGTAGGTTCTTTTGTGGAGGGTGAGCTTCTTTGCCTCTCAAGGATCTGATGTTGCACAAGATAATGTGCTTGGGTTGTACAAGCAAACTGTCGATGCTGTCATGTGCATTCTTTTGCACACGAAATATCATCCTTTGCAATCTCATGTTCATCTAATGGTCGAATGAAGCAAATGTGCAGCAGCATTTCATGTGGCTTGCGATGATTTATTTCAGGTGTGCTGCTATACATTGCTGACTGGAATTCACTCCAGCTGTCCTGAACCTGGTGGGCGTGGTGTCTGTTTTCCTCGCCACAGTTTTTACAGTGATTACATGCTGTCCTTGGGGAAGACTGAACTGAGCTGCAGCAGGAAGAGCTTCTCGCTAGCCGACCTATGCAAATTCGCCCAGCCGCAGGTAACACTTCGAACAAGTAGATCAGTCATAACCATCTGTGCTTCAGATAAATGGACAAGTTCAGAATTGAGAGGACTAATTCAGAGAGAACAGATATGTTCAGACTTCAGAACTTAGATGTGATAACTGAGCAGAGTTTTGTTTTTGCTAGGCTGATTATGTGCTGAGATATTAGACCCTATTGATTTATTGATTTAAAAAGTCCAGACTTTTAGAAGCAAGATAAATGGAATGGCTTTTTCCATTAACGTGTGGCACATTACAAGGGAAATTCAAAATATGCTCTTCAAACATATAACTCTTGAAAATATTGACAACCAGACCTGTTACACTGCTATGAAAATGGAATTTTTTGCATTGTCAATAGTCTCCTACAAGTTCTTCTGGTTAAGGGTGATTATTTCTGAAGTACTTCTATATAGTTTATTCAGCTCTACCTTAGTGAAGGCAAAATCTAAACCGAGAAGCCTCTCGGTTTAGTGCTAACCAGCGACGAACTAATTGTGAAAAGTACGGCTACACGTGCTGACGTGCATGCTGTTTTTCCTCTTTGACATGCATGTCTTTTTCTTCCTTCTTATAAAGTTTTATCTCAAATTACTTATCCGATCTACAATGCGATTACACCATTGTGTTCGTTACAATTAAATCTTCACAACAAGATCTTACATGATTATATTACGATGAAAAAATATTTATATTTGTAAATTACTTTTATTATATACGTAAGTTACTTTTATCATATATATATAAGTTACTTTTAGTTTTGACTAAGTTACTTCTTAGACATATAAAAGTAAATTCAATAAAGTCTAAAAGTAATTTATATATATTATAAAAGAAACTTAATACAAAACGGAAATAACTTTGTCATAATATTAGAAGTAAATTCGTTGTAGGGATAAAATATGACTTTTTAGTTAAGTCAATAATTTGTGTTGATTAATTTAATTTTTAGATAAAGTCATGTTTTTATCTCTACAACGGATTTATTTCAAATGACATGCCAAAGTTACCTTCGTTTTGTTCTAAGTTACTTCTATAATATATATAAATTACTTTTAGACTTACTGAATTTACTTTTATATGTTTAAGAAGTAAATGAAATCTAAAAGTAATTTAGACATATCATAAAAGTAATTTGTGATTTTTCATCAAAATATAATCATGTGAGATCTTGTTGTAAAGATTTAATTGCAATGAACACAATGGCGTAATCGGATTATAAATCGGATAAGTAATTTAAGAGAAACTTCTCAAAGAAGGAAAAAATACATAGATATTGAGTGTACTAGTAGCTTTTTTTTTGAAAGAAGGGTGTCTCTCTTTAGCACTATCCAGCTAATACTCTCGGTGTAGTTGTGTCCATAAAAAAAACAATTCCACACAATAAAAATTTACTGCTCAGACATTCAAAGATGGCATTTACTCATGCAAAGCTGGACAACGTGCAACTTCAAGTATATAGATATTGTACTATGAGGAGTCACAACTTGGGAAAAGAAGTAAAGAATATGTGTTTTGACCGATATCAGGAAATATATATTATCTGAACAATTGTGTATTTCAATAATTAGCAAGAATTCTGAGCAACGATATATAGAAAAGAAGTGAACGTATTTTCGCACATTATCCGCCATCAGAGACGACAGGTACTTTCACTAATGGA